GCTAATCAGCAGGATGTTGTGCAGGATGTTGGAGACGGAATAATTGCTGGAGATTTGAATGGCAGCCCGGCTAATAATCATGTAATTACCGCCTTCGCTGTCACAGGAACCTGCCTGTGGGGGAGGGGGCATTCTGGGTATTTGGGGGGGGGGGGATGCTGGTTCAGCATTCTGATTAACACTTTCAGGACTGACGTGAATGATGTGAATTGTTTTGTCGTGAAATGCGAACGAAGATGGAGCCACGTTCTCGGCCACATTACTATTAATGAGCAACTGAGGATTCCAAAATGGCCTCACTCTGGTTCAGTGATGTCACCGCTCTCCAGGGATTGGATAGGCTGCATTGTCAGTGATGTCATCGCTCTCTAGTGAATGGATAGGCTGCATTCTCAGTGATGTCATCGCTCTCTATGATTGGATAGGCTGCATTCTAGGTGATGTCACCACTCTCTAGCGAATGGATAGCTGCATTCTAGGTGATGCCACTCTCTATGAATGGATAGACTGCATTCTAAGTGATGTCATCCCTCTCTAGTGAATGGATAGGCTGCCACCCTCAGTGATGTCATCGCTCTCGAGCGATTGGATAGGCTGCATTCTCAGTGATGTCATCCCTCTCTAGTGAATGGATAGGCTGCATTCTCAGTGATGTCATCGCTCTCTAGTGATTGGATAGGCTGTGCATTCTCAAGATGATTTCATCCCTCTCTAGTGAATGGATAGGCTGCATTCTCAGTGATGTCATTGCTCTCTAGTGATTGAATAGGCTGCATTCTCAGTGATGTCATCGCTCTCTAGTGAATGGATAGGCTGAATTCTCAGGTGATGTCACGCTCTCTAGTGAATGGATAGGCTGTACTCTTGGTGATGTCATCGCTCTCTAGTGAATGGATAGGCTGAACTCTTGGTGACGTCACCGCTCTCTAGTGAATGGATAGGATGTGAATGGATAGGCTGCATTCTCAGTGATGTCATCGTTGGATAGGCTCTCTAGTGATTGGATAGGCTGCATTCTCGGTGATGTCATCGCTCTCTAGTGAATGGATAGGCTGCATTCTCAGTGATGTCACCGTTCTCTAGTGATTGGATAGGCTGCATTCTCGTGATGTCACCGCTCTCTAGTGAATGGATAGGATGCATTCTCAGTGATGTCACCGTTCTCTAGTGATTGGATAGGCTGCATTCTCGGTGATGTCATCGCTCTCTAGTGAATGGATAGGATGCTGCATTCTCGGTGATGTCATCGTTCTCTAGTGAATGGATAGGCTGCATTCTCGATGTGATGTCACTGCTCTCTAGTGAACGGATAGGCTGCATTCTCGGTGACGTCACCGCTCTCTAGTGAACGGATAGGCTGCATTCTCAGTGATGTCATCGCTCTAGTGATTGGATAGGCTTAACTCTTGGTGATGTCACCATGGAATTTCTGACCTTTTATTCGGTGTCTCCCGTCTATTGGTTCGATCGGTGTCGGAATTATTGTCGATATTAAGAAGAAAGCTTTGTAACCGCCCTTCTTTCATCTCTGTAACAGGAAGTTCAGACTCCGCTTCCTCTTTCTCAAGGAAACTCATGTCACCTCCCCGAGCATTACCCAACAACTGGCCTCCGGTTTTTCTTGATAAGCTTCGCATTTCTCCATCGATGGAAGCGTCTGACGTCATCATTTTCCCTGTGCGTCCCGCAATCCGATTCCTGAGAAGTATTTACAGAGGTCTAGATGGGGGGCTCCGGGGGGTGGGTAGGTGACACGGCCGGGTAGGCAGGAAACCTTTTGACTCAACTTCCTCTCTGAGTCGAGATCGGGGGGGATTCCGCAGGACACGGTGATTCTGGTAAATACATTTTTTATATTAGCTTTGGAAATTTCACCTCGTCTTTTGGGAAATTGTGTCGATCGAGCCCCAAATCTCTCCGGGGCGTCTCTGGTGATACTTTACAGTGAGTTGTGGTGGCGGCGGTCGCGCGTGAGCTCTGAAAAACGATCGCCATTCTACACTCAGGTATAGATCCAGTATTTTATACCCCGGTCTGCTTTGCCAAAAAGATTGTTCCACCGAGAACCTATATTTTTTGGTTCACAAGATGCTGTGTGGTTGAGACTCATTGGCGTCTTCCCAGTTGGAGGTGGTGAGAAGCCAGGGAGTTCTTGGCCCCATCCACCGGCTGCAGAAGCAACTATGACGGGTATGCAGAAAGAGGAGTGAGACTCCTTTACTCCCCTTTTAATGGCCTCAGTAGATAAGGCACGGAGCCAAGATGATGCCCTTTAATGCACCCATATCTGGGCACCAAGGACCAAGGTGGGTGGACCACTCTCAACAGGTATATATTTTTCCTAACCAATCACCTTCGTTCCAACATCTCCCACCCACTCGGCCGCCCCCCCCCTGAGAAATCGGGCCTGTCCTTGGTGATGTGGAGGCATGGGGCCCATCACTGACGAGCGTTGGGTGGGCGGTGGTCAGAAAAAAAAAATGCTTGAAGGCCTTGCATATGGTGGTCATTCATAGGCATGCAAATTTATGCAATGAACGTTCAGAAAATAAGGCGTCCAATCAGGTTGCAGCTTCAGTTGTGCCCACCATGAGAAATCGGGCCTGTCCTTGGTGACATGGAGCTATGGGGCCCATCATTGGCCAGCATTGGGTGGTGGTCAAAAGAAAAACGCTTGAAGGCCTTGCATATGGTGGTCATTCATAGGCATGCAAATTTATGCAACGAACATTCGAAAAATAAGGCATCCAATCAGGTTGCAGCTTCAGTTGCCCACCCTGAGAAATCGGGTCTGTCCTTGGTGACATGGAGCTATGGGGCCCATCATTGGCCAACGTTGGGTGGGTGGGTGGTGGTCAGAAAAATAATGCTTGAAGGTCTTTCATATGGTGGTCATTCATAGGCATGCAAATTTATGCAACGAACATTCGGAAAATAAGGCGTCCAATCAGGTTGCAGCTGCAGTTGCCCACCCTGAGAAATCGTGTCTGTCCTTGGTGACGTGGAGGAGGCATGTGGCCCATTACTGGCCAGCGTTGGGTGGGTGTGGTCAGAAAAAAAAATGCTTGAAGGCCTTGCATATGGTGGTCATTCATAGGCATGCAAATTTATGCAACAAACGTTTGGAAAATAAGGCGTCCAATCAGGTTGCAGCTTCAGTTGCCTGCATCATCGGCCGATAAAGTCCACAACGTTTATGGTGGAGGCTGAACGAGATCAAGACGCCGTCACATTGGTTCCAATTAGGCAACTATGTATCTAAAATCCACGATTAGATTCATAGGCATGCAAATTTATGCAACGAACATTCGGAAAATAAGGCGTCCAATCAGGTTGCAGCTTCAGTTGCCCACCATGAGAAATCGGGCCTGTCCTTGGTGACATGGAGCTATGGGGCCCATCATTGGCCAGCATTGGGTAGGTGGTGGTCAGAAAAAAAAATGCTTGAAGGCCTTGCATATGGTGGTCATTCATAGGCATGCACATTTATGCAACGAACATTCGGAAAATAAGGCGTCCAATCAGGTTGCAGCTTCAGTTGCCCACCCTGAGAAATCAGGCCTGTCCTTGGTGACGTGGAGGTATGTGGCTCATTACTGGCCAGCGTTGGGTGGGTGGTGGTCAGAAAAAAAATGCTTGAAGGTCTTTCATATGGTGGTCATTCATAGGCATGCACATTTATGCAACGAACATTCGGAAAATAAGGCGTCCAATCAGGTTGCAGCTTCAGTTGCCCACCCTGAGAAATCGGCTGTCCTTGGTGACGTGGAGGTATGTGGCCCATTACTGGCCAGCGTTGGGTGGGTGGTGGTCAGAAAAAAAAATGCTTGAAGGCTTTGCATATGGTGATCATTCATAGGCATGCAAATTTATGCAACAACATTTGGAAAATAAGGCGTCCAATCAGGTTGCAGCTTCAGTTGCGTGCATTATCGGCTGATAAAAGTCCACAAAGTTTATGGTGGTGGTTGAACGAGATCAAGACGCCGTCACATTGGTTCCAATTAGGCAACTATGTATCTAAAATCCGCGATTAGATTCATAGGCATGCAAATTTATGCAACAAACATTCGGAAAATAAGGCGTCCAATCAGATTGCAGCTTCAGTTGCCCACCCTGAGAAATCGGGCCTGTACTTGGTGACGTGGAGGTATGTGGCACATCATTGGGCAGTGTTGGGTGGGTGGTGGTCATAAAAAAAAAGCTTGAAGGCCTTGCATATGGTGGTCAGTCATAGGCATGCGAATTTATGCAACGAACATTCGGAAAATAAGGCGTCCAATCAGGTTGCAGCTTCAGTTGCGCACATTATCGGCCGATAAAGTCCACAACGTTTATGGTGGCGGTTGAACGAGGTCAAGACGCCGTCACATTGTTTCCAATTAGGCAACTATGTATCTAAAGTCCGCAATTAGACCCCCTAGCTGAACATCAACTTGACGGCCGTCCGATTCCCGCCTCCGCCAACGCAGCAGGTGCCGGCGGCCAGGTGGTGCGTTTTCCAGAAGTTGGTGACAGCGGCAGTTCTCTCGTCTCCTCTGCAGAGATGTTTCGGAGGGTGGTCCCTGGCACAGTTGATGCGGTTGTCATGGTTATACATAGCGAGATGTCTACATGTTCCAGGAATTTTTTTCTCTCTCTCTCTCTCTCTCTCGTGTCGGTGGATACTGCAGCATTCACCCAGAGATGCAGCATCAGCCTGGTTTCCGCAGCACCTCCGTCTACGGCCCCGTGCGGGCGGACGCCCTCGCCGCTTCTGCCGCCCCTCGCCGGCTGCAGACCATGAGCTGGAGGGCCAAACGCCCCAGCGAGCGTACGACGATGGTCATGATGGTGGGTTCATAGCTACTACTGACCTAGACCTGGACCTAGTCTATCTCTAGATACCGACCTTCAGGGGATAGGCACAGTTGACCGTTTCGGAAGAGGCGGACGCGGTTTGCGAAAGGAAAAGCGCCGAAAAGATTTGAGAACCGTTAACGATCTCCTTATTTTTTTTTCCATTACAGAATAAAGAGAAGGAGAAGATGAAGGACGCCAAGGACACGCGCTACACCAACGGGCACCTGTTCACCACCATCACCGTCTCCGGGACCACGATGTGCTTCGTGTGCAATAAAAGCATCACGGCCAAGGAGGCGCTCATCTGTCCGAGTAAGTAAATGACCCCCCCATACCTAACTTGTTGTTACTGACATGATCGCCCCCCCCCCCCCCCGAAAAAAAACGGCGGACTGTGCGTTCTGGAATGCAGGGTCCAAAAGCCGGTAATTGCTTTGCCTCGGTTATCTGTGCCAGTCCGAGGAGCGCGTTTATCTTCCATTAAAAGATCAGCGCGTAGGCGTGGAAGGAAAAACGGCAGCAGATTTGTGTGTTTAGCTCGTGTGTGTTTGGGGGACCCCTGCAGGCTGTGTGCATAAAAATCCCGAGACCGCGCGTCGGCAAGATTGCTGCAGGATACGGTTAACCCTTTCCCGGGGGAAGACTGCGTAGAGACGCGGGGCTCCGCCCACTCGCGGCCGTCCACGCTTGATGCTGCTGCATTTGTAGACATTTCACGGCTTTGTTTTGGTGTGTGTCGGGAAGCTGAAAGTCATCGGCCTCCGAAAATTGGCGGTTTGACGGGAAAAGTTTTCATGAGGTCCATGGTGCAAGTAGATATTGTACTTCCGATACGTAGCTGACGCGTGGAACGATCGTGAGGGGGGCAAAACCCGTACCGGGCAACCTGAAATGAAACCGTTTTAACCCAAATTTCAGCCCAGCTGGCCACGCATGGGACAACTGGATGGAACCATCGAACTGTAGGTGTAATATTTTTGCCGAAATCACCAAGATGGTGGTTACCTTCACTCTCAAAGAGATGAGATAGGAACGGCTCTGATCCAACCGAGGGTGGGGGAAGGGGATTGAAGGGGGGGAATCCAGATTTTGATGAAAACGTCGTTCTTTTTCTGTTCTTGTATTGAAACAGTCAATTTATCGCCCAGTTTCGGCTTTACAATCCATGAAATTCTGGTGGAACGGTTCGATGGAGTTCATGGTGGGAACTCGTATTTTGATTGCTTAGTTTGTGGCGGTTATGTGAGATTCCTGGTAAAGGGGAAGTGTTTGACATTGGTTGTTGTGTGTATGGTCAGCTTGACTGCTCACCCTACCACTAGCCCTGAACCCAACCTCAAACATTTCTTCTAACTCGGGGGTCCTCTAGCTTGGTAAAACTGTTCTTCAGACTTTAGGGGAGCTGGACAGTCACCAGTGGGAGTAGACGATGCCTTGGTGTCAGTGGGAGTAAACCGTCCCCTAGGTCCGGTGAGGCGAGGCGTGGAAGTAAAACAATTACCCATCACCTGTGGTCAGTGGGAAGCAGAAATGCTTCACCCTTGGTGGCAGTGGATGGAACAGTGACCCATCATTGGTGACATGGGAGGAATATGGACCATCATTGGTGACAAGGGAGGAATAGGGGCCATTATTGGTGACATGGGAGGAACGGGGACCATCAATGGTGACAAGGGAGGAATAGTGGCCCTCATTGGTGACATGGGAGGAATGGGGACCATCATTGGTGACAAAGGAGGAACGGACACCATCAATGGTGACATGGGAGGAATAGGGGCCATTATTGGTGACATGGGAGCAATAGGGACCATCATTGGTGACATGGGGGGAATAGGGACCATCATTGGTGACATGGGAGGAATAGGGACCATCATTGGTGACTTGGGAGTAAAAGGGACCATCATTGGTGACATGGGGGGAATAGGGACCATCATTGGTGACATGGGAGGAATAGGGACCATCATTGGTGACTTGGGAGTAAAAGGGACCATCATTGGTGACATGGGAGGAATAGGGGCAATTATTGGTGACATAGGGCCCATTGTGACAAGGCAGAAACAGAGACTATCATTTGTGACACACAAGGAATAGGGCCCATCATTGGTGGCAAGGGAGAAACAGGGCCCATCATTGGTGACACAGGAAGAATAGGGCCCATCATTGGTGACACGGTAGGAATAGGGCCCATCATTGGTGACACGGGAGGAATAGGGCCCATCATTGGTGACACGGGAGGAATAGGGCCCATCATTGGTGACACGGAGGAATAGGGCCCATCCTTGGTGACACGGGAGGAATAGGGCCCAACCTTGGTGACACGGGAGGAATAGGGCCCATCCTTGGTGACACGGGAGGAATAGGGCCCATCCTTGGTGACACGGGAGGAATAGGGCCCATCCTGGTGACACGGTAGGAATAGGGCCCATCATTGGTGTCATCAAGGAATATGGGCCAAGAGGAATTGGGCTCTTCGTTGGTGTTATGGGAGGAAAAGTGCCCTTCATTGGTAACACGGGAGAATAGGGCCCATCGTTGGTGACACGGGAGGAACAAGGGCCCATCATTGGTGACATGGGAGGAATAGGGCCCATCATTAGTGATATGGGAGGAATAGCGCCCATCATTGGTGTCATTGAAGTTATAGGGTCCATCATTGGTGACGTGGAGGGAATAGTGCCCCATCATTGGTGACGTGGGAGGCCTAGTATCCATCATTGGTTGAAGTTATAGTGCCCAACATTTGTGTCCTGGTGAGGAATACCCAATTGTTGGTTTCAGTGGCAGAAACTGTGCCCATAGTCATATGGAGGAATCGTGCCCCGTCGTCGGTGTCAGTGGGAGGAATGGAGCCCCATCATTGGTGTCATATGGAGGAATCGTGCCCAACATTTGTGTCAGTGGGAGGAATACCCAATCATTGGTTTCAGTGGGAGGAACTGTGCCCATCATTGGTGTCAGTAGGAGGAATAGTGACCCATCATTGGTGTCAGTGGGAGGAATAGTGCCCATCATTGGTGTCAGTGGGAGGAATAGTGCCCCATTCATTGGTGTTAGTAGAAGGGAATAATGCCCCATCATTGGTGTCAGTGGGAGGAATAGTGACCTATCATTGGTGTAAGTAGAGTGAATAGTGCTCAATTGCTGGTGTCAGTGGGAGGAATAGTGCCCCATCCTTGGTGTCAGTGGAGGATAGTGCCCCATCCTTGGTGTCAGTTGGGGGAATAGTGCCCCCCCCATTGGTGTCAGTGGGAGGAATAGTGCCCCATCATTGGTGTCAGTGGGAGGAATAGTGCCCATCATTGGTATCAGTGGGAGGAATAGTGCTCCCATCATTGCTGGTGTCAGTAGGAGGAATAGTGCCCCATCATTGGTGTCAGTGGGAGGAATAGTGCCCCATCATTGGTATCAGTGGGAGGAATAGTGCCCCATCATTGGTGTCAGTGGGAGGAATAGTGCCTCATCATTGGTATCAGTGGGAGGAATAGTGCCCCATCATTGGTGTCAGTGGGAGGAATAGTGCCCATCATTGGTGTCAGTGGGAGGAAGGATTGTGCCCATTGTTGGGGCCCGTGCCAGTCACTGGTCACTGGAGGAATAGCACCCTAGTATTGGTGTCACTGGGAGGAATTGTGCCCCCAAACCCAGCACAGGGGCCACATCTACCCTGCTGCCCACAATTTCGGGACCACTGCTGTCCCTCAACCTGACCTTACAGTAGATGTAATCACTATTACTACTTTCCCCTCCCCCTCTCTCACTATATATTGACCACAGACAGTACACATTTCTCCGCACTGTCCACTGACATAGGAGATCTCTGACACCTCGTATCCATCTGACACCATGGATGTCTCATGTATGTACGTCCTCCGCGCTCCGTCCCGTCCACGCGCTCCCTTAAAGCTCCCGTCGCCCTCCTGCGCTTCGCCGCGGCTCCTCTCTCGCGCCCTTTCCCCGGTCACATGTTCCCGCGGGCCGCGCTTTACGCCGCGAGGAAGACGCTCTTTGATGTCTCGCTCCGCATGTAACGACTCAGTTTACAGGTCCCATCTGGCGGCGGTCACACGATACGCCCAGCAGCTGGCGCTGGAATTAACCGTCTCCCACCTTCGGCCAGATCCCTGCTGGGAAATCCGTTCCCAGCCTCCTTGCGGTTAATGAGGTTGGGGGAGGGGAGGGGGGGGGGGTCAGTCACACATTATAGTGAAGGGGCCTCCAGTCCTCACATCTTCCGTTGGGTGATTTGCTGACTTGCTGGAAGTTAAAATGGGGCTCGCAATCAAAAGACGGGAAGGAGAGGGGTGTGTCGGCGCCGGGCTCGGGACGAAACGTGTCCGGGAGATTCGGGTCTTTTGAATGTAGCCGTCGGTTGCAGCGCCTACTGGCAGTGTATCACCGAGCAGAGAATTGCGTTGGGCCTCCTGGAGGTGCCAGACGTTGGCAATGTGGGATCTTTCAGAACGCGCTGTTCTACGGCACGGTACACGTCCAGAAATGTGTCTGAACCCCCCCCCCCGCCCCCCGCCATCCGGGAATATATTCGTGTTACATATGGCAGGCAGATCGAGGCGCGCGGCGCGTCACTCCGACTGTACAGATTACTAATCCCGCCATCCAGGCCGAGACGCCGGAGTCTGTGGGAGGATTGCTGCGGGAATATATGGAACATCTACAGAGTCCAACCACCCACACATGGGGGGGGGGGGGGCGGTGGGAGGGGGGAGGGGGGCGCCATTCCTGATACGTCATTATATACAGTCACTGTGTCATTGTTCACAGAGCTTCACCTTCTACCAATAACAAGCCGTCCTCGGGCTTTGCCTGGACTGAGATGATGTCATCGGTCTGCTGCAGGCAGGAGGAGGCATTTCCTCAGTCTCCCCTCCCCCAGTGATCAGACTGTACATTGTAACTTTGTAGAAGGAGGAGGAGGCATTTCTTCAGTCTCCTCCCCCAGTGATCAGACTGTACACTGTAACTTTGTAGAAGGAGGAGGAGGAGGCATTTCTTCAGTCTCCCCTCCCCCCAGTGATCAGACTGTACATTGTAACTTTGTAGAAGGAGGAGGAGGAGGAGGCATTTCTTCAGTCTCCTCCCCCAGTGATCAGACTGTACATTGTAACTTTGTAGAAGGAGGAGGAGGAGGCATTTCCTCAGTCTCCCCTCCCCCCAGTGATCAGACTGTACATTGTAACTTTGTAGAAGGAGGAGGAGGCATTTCCTCAGTCTCCCCTCCCCCAGTGATCAGACTGTACATTGTAACTTTGTAGAAGGAGGAGGAGGCATTTCCTCAGTCTCCCCTCCCCCAGTGA